GCCCGATATGATCATGTTCGGGCTTCACATTCATCATTATGAATGCAAGCCGGATGCCAAGAACTCAAGCCTAACACCAAGGTGCTTTCCAGAAAATGCATTACGAATAGAACACCCCAAACATTTATAATCAATCATGCAATTGCCCATTTTCTAATCCAATCGGTCAAAAACAATTATTTATACATGAGAACACATCGTACAACATTAGTTTCATGAAACCACATATAAATTAACAATCCCCAAATTCCTCAAGAAACCTTAACCCACTGAGACATTTCAAGGGAATGCAATTATTTATCAGAACGTTAATTTCACCAAATCGTACAATAAACAAGTTCATAGTTCAATTTGGAATCTAATTGGATTGTCAAATTTAGTTTCAGAAAAGAAATGGGAGAACCTTAAGAATTTAGGGATTTCTCCCACTTCCCACTCTCTCTTGTAATCCCGCATATGAGTCACTCATTTTCCCCCTAGTACTTTGTTATGTCGATTTGAAATAATTGACGCAGTTTTGGGACGATTTGAGTACTTCTCCTCATAGCTCTTTCTTTCTCCTCCTTCTCTCTCTCAATTCTTCTAAAATGCCAAAATGAGATTGATTAGCATACTCTCCCTAACCCCCTCTCATAAAATTCATTAACTAGGTCAACCCGGCCTATTTTCTCTTCTCCCATTAAAATAAATAAATAAATATAATAATTAATTTTCTTTGTATAAAAATAAAAATAATAATTCTGGCCATAGAAATAATACTTTAATAATATTATTATTAAAAAAAAGGATGTTATAGATGGTCTCATTCCATGGCTCTTAAGCTATTTTGTATTGATGATGATGAGAAGATTGGTACCACATGCATATAGCGTTAGGAGCACGCATATGCACGAATCCTTATCATTATAACTTTGAGTGAATAGAGTATTTAATTTGTTGGTTGTTGATTAATGAATGAATGCGTTGATAGTACAATACCACAAGATCATTGCCTTAAATGTATAGTTGAGAATTTAATTATGTTGTGCATATGTGTGCTATTCTTAAACTTTATATATGTTGTGTGTGGATAAGATGTATTCTCACTCCCAATATTTGTGTGCTTGTGTTTGGGCTGATCATATTCATAGGAATAGATAAGGGATATGAAGATGTATTTGATGGAAGAAAGGCTTAGAGTTTCACTTATTTAGGATTTTGCTCTAATTAGTGTGACATTAGGACAAGGATTATAATGTTAATATTTTATTGGAATTATTTAGGTTTTGTCCAATTATGTTCACATTGAAATTTTGTTCAATTAGATGGTTTGTGCTTTATTTTTAATTTTACACATTATTTTGCTATGTTCTCCTTTATTAAATAAAGTTGTTGAAAAAGAGTTGTGAACTCTTTTACTAAGCAGTGACATTTAAAATTTTTATGAATATATAAGTTTGTTGTATTTAAAATTTTATTATTTAATAAAATTCTTTATTTTAATTTTTTGGAGTAAAAGAGTGTCACAATGTGACATCGGGTTTAGAGGACTTTTGTATATTTTTAGTTATGGTTTTAGTTTTAAAAGATTTTATTATCTTATTTCATTATGGAGATTTTGTATAAGGTTGGTTTGTGTTTTCATTTATAAACTCTTGTTTTATTTATTTCATTTAATTGTTTGAAGAGTTTTTAACATGTGCATCATTTTATGAAATGAATTTAAGCTGATCATTTTTTTTTTGGTTCGTCCCTGGAGTATCCACCGCCCATAGCGTTGACTAATTAATCTCCTCGTTACGTTGGAGGCACCTCAAAGGGTGGGATAACTGGCCCCAACAAGGCAGAATTCGAACCTCTGACCTTGCTTAAGCGTGGATCAACCCCTACCGCTGAACCACACGCTTGGAGTTATTTAAGTTGATCATTTTATAATAAACTTTTAACTAAATGCATTTTCTTCATAATAGTTTCATAGTAACACTTTGGGGCAGTAAGGATGTCACACATACCAATGTCTTAGTAGATTCATACCCAAGTTGTTTTATTTCTAATAGTAGTACTAGAGCTTCATACCTTAAGTTGCGAGATCTGAGAAACCCAAAAGTTTGTTGAGTTGGCTTGAAATGTCAAACATTTTCCTGACTTGGTCCTAATAGAGGTCAGACATTGTACTGACTTAACCTAGTGAGTGTCAAATGTTATAGGTTTTATAGGTTTAAACCACTTAAATTGCTCATTAAGTTGTAAGAGATCTTCAAAGTTAAAAATGCGTGATGACGCATAAAATTGTTAAATTTTTTTAGTTGTTGCAATTTAAAGTTGATTTTAAGTTGTTGAGTTGAAAGTTGCATTTGTTATTTAAATATGTAAAAGTTGTCAAGTTTTTTATATTGTCGAGTTATAAGTTGTGAATCAGATACTATGTTGTTTTCTAAAAGTTGAATGTTGTCTCTTGTTGAAGTTGTTTAAAGTTGAATATGCTTGTTTCAATAGCATTTTTTATATTTTGTTGTCATTTTTAATAAGCTTACTCTTATATTTTTATGTGTTGGACTATAATGATCATGCTTAAATTGGTAGTGGGCTAGGAATAGGTTGGAGGGTTGACTTAAAGGCAGAAGATAGAGGCCATGTTTGTGGTGGCTTTGGTGTTGGTGCTACTCTGTTGTAGCTTGTATAGTTGTCTTAACCAACACTAGTGTTTTATTTTAATTTTGGATTTTGTTCTTGTTGTATATATACAAGAATGAGTGTAACTCCAAAAGAAAATTTATATTTTCAGTCATATGCTCATGAATCGCTTTATGTTTCCCTATACCCTTTATATATTTAATATTGTTTGGATATTCAGGAACTATTTGCATGAGATTCTAGGTTAATTGATTTATGTTTTCCTTTACTTGTATGTGTTGTACTTGTGTGGCAACCTATTGGATTCTTACATTGTATATTTTCATTTATAGTAGGCTAAATTGTACTTTTAATCCCTCTATAATATCATATTTATAATTTTGATCTCTCTATTTTTAATTTCTAATTTCATAAAGTCCACATTTTTTATCCCCTCGTTAAATGTTTATCCATTGATCGTTAAAATTGTAACGTTGTCACATTAAATAAATGATATGAAAATTAATATTTAATTATATTTAAGCTAAATTTCACTATTAGTTCTCATTTTTATCTCATAAAAGTGGTAAAATGAGATGAAAATGTGAAAAAAAATGAAAACTAAAAATACAAATTAATCTAAATATTATTAAATAATATTAATGAATGTGTCATCTATCTAATGTTAGATGACAACTACCATTACAATTTTAATAATCAATAGATGAATATTTAATAAGGAGACTAAAATTATAAATTTTATAAAATTGAGAGACTAAAATTAATGAATTAAAAATAAAAGGATTAGAGTTGTAGATTTGATATTATAGAAAGACCAAAAATACAATTTATCATTTATAATATATATAGGAGTAAATTTATATCCTTTACTTTATTGTTTAATTTAATAAATATATTGAATTGATAGAAAAGAATTAATGTTTAAAATTAAATAGAAGTAATTGATAAAAAATAATTTAATGAAAGTTAATTGTTTAGTTGAACAAATATAGAAATTATACCGACGATATCTTTAATTGTAAACGATTAACATATACATTTAAATTAAATTCTTTTTAGTAAATGAAAAGAGAAATTCACAAAGGAAGAAAGTTATAATTTTTATTCTAATAATGTCACAATCCCTTATTTCTAAATACGATTTTCGTTATTTTACTATAATAGCAAAATATTTAATCTTGCACAGCTATATCTTTACATTTGGCTATCAATTTACTTTACTTTTCTTTTCTTTTCTTTTTCTGTTTTTTAAAAATAACATGTATTGTTTATGACACATAATCATGATAGAGTCGGGTATAAGAAAAACTACTTTTAAGTATTTAATCTAATTATATATCTAGAATTTAAATTTAAGACCTACTACAAGAAAATTGTCATATAGTGACACAATACATGTCACTAAAAATTACTTTTATTCACATAGTAAATATATATTATATATTGATATATTGTTAAAAAGTATAAATATAAGTTATAGTGACACACAAAATATGTTATTATATCTAATTCAAAATCAACACTAAAATTGTATGTAACTATATGTCAAATAGATATATACCTACATATATCGTACTTATAGTAACACTTTTTGTATGTCACTATATGTAATATTTATTATATTTATTATAGTGCCTTTAATTAAATTGAAACAATCTCGTATTATTTAATCTAAACACTTGGTGATATGGTTAAAAATTTATTAAAAGAGTACGTTGATCCACATGCTGTATTTTAATTTATTATAAGTGAAATAATATTCTTATATTATTTCATTTATCATAGATGAAATGTATAATTATTTGAAGATAAAACTTTATTATTCATAATCAGTGGCAGACCTTTTAAGGGACAGGGGGAGCCTTTTATGATTATTATAACTAGTGAATGATAATATTTTTTTTTGAATTTTATTATTATGCATGTTTATTTTGAGTAGAGAAAATAAAATTTTTTGTTATTTTTTAATTAATAAAAAATTTAATTTATATATAAAAAAATTAATTTAGCACCCTCAAATTTTTTATTGATGTTCCGCCACTGTTTATAATAATTTTACACGATAAAAGAAAAATTATCTCTTATAAAAAGTACACGCGTATTGTAAAAACAAACTCACTCTTATCTTCAAGTAGTGTGATTTGAATAGTATTGCTTAGTAAGTTTATTTAATTTCTTACCTTGAAGCCAGCCTTTCACTCATTCTTTTTTATAAAATAAATTAATTTCATTATAAGGTATAGTTTGCACCTTAGCATAAGGTAGTTAAAATCACTCATATTTTAATCATGATTAAAACGTAATTTTCCATAATTGTTTTGCTTACCTTTCTATATAACTAGTGTTCTTGTGACAATGATCTCTATCTATTTTTCTTTCCTGGGTTATTCACTTTACTTTGTGTCACTCTCTTAATCATTTCATTCTCAACTCAACCATCTCCCCTTGTACGTCCTCCTTCCTGTCCTTGAATGGTTTTGGTATGAGTTCAACCTATATGCTTTTCATCTTAATTTTTGAATCTTTCATTTTCCCTTCAGTGTTTTGTTCTTTGTTTGATTCATTTCTATATGATTAGGAAGAATCACAGAACTGTCTTGTTATTAAAAAAAAAAAAAAAAAAAAAACTAGTAAAATCACTTTCTGTCCTTGAAGTTGTGCATATGATCATTTAATTTAAACAGAAAAATTCACATGTTTGAAATATAATTCATACAATTTTCAGTGTATAATTTTGTGTTTAATTCCACTCATCATGTGAAATTGTTGTGTCTAGGTTGGTTTTCACTATAAAACATGTCTAGAGGTTACAAGCATGTTTGGGAGAGATTTAATTAATCTCGGATCATTCACCTGTTTTTTTTTTTTTTTTGGGAGAAAAGTTGTTTATACAAAATAATTGTGTGTTTGGTAACAACTTAAATTTATAAACAATTTTTTTTCCTGAAAAACAAGTTGTTTTTATAAAGCTAAAAATTTGAAGCTATGATTATTTCCCAATTTTTTAAGTTGATTTACTAGATAGAATTATTTTTTTTATGTCCAAACAAAATTAAACATCTTAAAATTATTTTTCACAAAACTTACTCAAAAAAGGATTTAATTTCAATTATAATTTGCTATAACAATAACCAATCATTAAAATAATTTAATTTTCATAATACTCTCAAACAGACTCGTACATCTCTATGCTTTTCTTCTCTAGTTTCATTTTCATATGTTTTCCTAAGTTTTACATCACTAGCATCTCATGGATGAAACGCTTGAGCCAGCGGTTTTTTTTTTTTCCCTCTTTTACTTTAACATCTTTTTATCTATATTGCTTGTGCAGTTTTTTTTTTTTTTTTTTTATAAAAAAATAAAATAAAATTTGGGAAACTTTTAACTAGTACCTTGTATTTTTTGCAGATGCGTCATCATAAAATTTCAAGAGGGGCCTTTCGGATTCTTAGCTCCTAAATTCCCAAATACAAGTAAGTGTATATTTTTTCCCCCAGAATTTTGTTATTGGTTTTACTTTTCGTTTTATTGCAGTGTTATTGTGCTTAAAAGAATTAACTACTCTCATATAAAAAGTAAACGAGTTACGATATATATGTTTCATGTATAAAGAAAATAATTCCACATTTTCCTACACTGTTTAATTTACTCTGAATTTACACAAGGCCACTCTAAAAGTTCTCAGCCTGTAAACAAAAAATAAAAAATAAAAAATCTACCTAAATCTGTACATCCCTTCCTTTTCTTTTTCCTTTTTATTTTCTTTATCTCTTTTCATCACACAACACGTCTTATTTGACATTTCTCTCTTTTTTCTAAAAGAATTTATTAAAATGATCTTTAAACATAATTTTTCTATTAATTATATCCCTCCGCAATTTATTAATATTTAATTAATTTATCAATAAGAACTTCTAACATATCTATAAATATAATTTCTCTATCAATTAACTCTCCATAATTAATGAATATTTTTTATTTAATTAATTTATCATTAGACAGAAATTATATATTTTTTATTTACAATAATGACAATAAAATTTTATATAAACTATTCACACCCTCACTACTACTAGACCGAACAAAGTAGATTGGATGAAAATTACATGTAATGTAACATCACGTCCAAAACATTTTATTTTCACTTTCGTTATTTGAACATCAAATAATTGTCACACATTAAAAACAATTATTTGAACTTTTATTTACTTTTGTTATACAAACATCTAAAACACACACCTTTCGAAACACAATTCGTTATTGTTCCAAATTTATCTAAAACAAACACCTTTCGTTTGTTTGATTTGATTTAAGGTAAAGAATTCAACGACACATCCTGTGTACAAAATATGAAGAATCATGTTTGTTGACATTTCTCTCCTGATAAGATGTTTTCTTTAGGTTAATTTTTGTTTTTCATCTAATCTTCATTGTCAAAAAAAATTTCTACGTACCTCAATGCATGGTTGATCATATACATAAGTAACATAACAAGCTTTTTATTTTGTTGTTATTAGTTTCACTGCAGATAGGTGAATGAAAAACTCGGTGACATCACAAGCAATGAACACCTCGAGTGATCACAACAAGATGGCTGCTGGTGTTGCTGTCTTCGACCCTTCATCGAGGAACAGTGAAGAAGAAACAAGGGTTGAAGAAGAGGAAGAAGAGGAGAAAGAGCTAACGATCGAGGAGCTTGAGACGAGGATGTGGAGGGACCGCATGTTGCTGAGGAAGCTGAAGGATGACAGAAGGGAGAGAGAGAAAGGGCAAACGGTGGAGATGCTGAAGAAAAAAGCCATGACTCGTGCACAAGACACTGTGCTGAAGAACATGCTGAAGATGATGGAGGTTTGTGATGTACGAGGCTTCGTTTATGGCATCATTCCCGAGAAGGGGAAGCCAGTGAGTGGTGCCTCTGATAACCTTCGTGCTTGGTGGAAGGATAGGGTCAGGTTTGATCGTAATGGTCCTGCTGCAATGCTTAGGTAAAACACTAAAACCCTTAATTTTCTATACATGTCTACTGAAACTTGTCCACTTTTAAATTTTATCTTATTTATTCACATGATCATATAGTAAATTCTCTGGTTAGTCATTTGTGAGAAGAATATTATATTGATAATATATGTGAATTAAATTATGAAAAGGCATATGTTTGTCATAGTTTTGTATATTTTTGTTTTAAAGAAGTATATCCTGACTTTGTATTGCTTCTAGATTAGTTTTAAAACTCTTACCATTGTTATATGAGAAGTATAATTAGGAATATATTTTATAACATACTTTTCGTAACAAGTTTTCTATTATTGATGGTAATTTATTAGAAACTAAAAATTCAAGTAAAATTTACAAAATTTTGTGATTTTTAATAAATTTTAATTAATAATAAGTAGTGAATTTAAAATAGAGTTAAAAATGTAGCATTATTGAATTTTTATTGCTTCTAGATATTAACTTCTAAATTCTAATTATATATTAATTGTTAAGAGAGGAGTGCTAGGAATATATTTCATAACATATTCTTTCTAACAAGGTTTATATTCTTGATTAAAATTTATTAAAAAATATAAATTCATGAGCAAAACTTTTTAAATAAAAGTATAGGCTCTATTTTTATTTTTGTATTTTCTAATATAAATTTCAATTAATAATAAATAATGCATTTAGAATAATGTTAAGAAAATGTACTTTTAGCCTTTCCCTTGTTAGAAATAGATTCTTCTATTCCCTTTTAGCAAGATAATTGGGATAGAGTGAAAGCTGTAAACGTTGATTAACAATACTCAAAATTGTAGATTCAAGTTTGTTTACCATTACTAATTACTCCAGGTTAGCAAAAATCTTTATTATAATAAGAATTGTAGGATTAATTAAAAAAAAAAAAAGATGAAAATTAAGGTGTTTTAGATTAATTAACTTGTTTCCTTGGTTTTCATAGTTTTAATGTTTATTATATGAGAAAATTTAAACCTTTATTCTCCACATAACTTTTTGTAACAAATTATCACCATCAGATAGTTTTTGTGAATAATTATAATTTATAGAGAGCAAGTGAATAATTTTCTTTATATATAAAAAATGTGTATTAATAGAATTACTTGTTGAAATTTGTTTGTACTAATTGTATGGATCCTGTGTTATAGGTATGAAGAAGAAAGTGGGTTTGATGAGCAGATCAACGATTCATTCAGTGGAGACCCATCAACCCATTACGCCTTGTGTGATCTGCCAGACACAACTCTTGGGTCACTCTTGTCATGTCTGATGCAGCACTGTGATCCCCCCCAGAGGAGGTACCCATTGGACAAGGGCCTTACCCCTCCATGGTGGCCCACTGGGCAGGAGACGTGGTGGCCCGAGTTGGGCTTTTCGGTGGACCCAGGCCCACCTCCCTACAAGAAGCCCCATGACCTGAAGAAGGTTTGGAAGATGTGTGTGCTCACTGCAGTCATAAAACACATGTCCCCTGACATCACTAGGATCAAAAACATTGTGCGCCACTCTAGGACCCTTCAGGACAAGCTCACTGCCAAAGAAACTGCTATTTGGACCGCTGTGGTCAAACGTGAAGAGTCAATTGCCAAAAAATTGCACCCTCACTTGTTCCCATCATCACTACCTTTGAGAAGGGCTAACTTGTTCCTTGAGACAAATGGTTATGGCATTGAACCAAGTGGTGCTAGAAATTTTCTTGGAGGCCAAAATAACACCACCAATAATGATATACTCTTAGCAAGTGCTGGTGCTAGAAATTTTTTTGGGGGGCAAAATAACCCTAATCCTAACCCAAACCTTAACCATAACCCTAAGCCTAACCCACCACCAGCCACCAATAATGTTACTAATGCTGGTGCTAGGAATTTCCTTGGGAGCCAAAATAATCCACCACCAACCACCAATGTTGCCGATGATGGTGCTAGGAAATTTCTTGGGGGGCAAAATAATCAATCACCAACCACCAATGTTGCTAATGGTGGTGCTAGAAGTTTTGTGATGGGGCAAAATAACCCATCACCAACCACCAATGTTGCTAATGGTAGTGCTAGAAATTTTCTGGAGGCACAAAACAACCCATCACCAACCACCAATGTTGCTAATGGTAGTGCTGGAAACTTTCTGGAGGCACAAAACAACCCATCACCAACCACCAAAGGTAGTGCTAAAATTTTTCTGGCGGGGAACAATAATCCACCATCAACCACCAGTGTTGCTAATGTTGGTGCTAAACGTTTTCTTGGGGGGCAAAACAGTCCACCACCAACTACCAATGTTGCTCAAGGTGGTGCTAGAAGTTTTCTTGGGGGCCAAAATAATCCACTTCCAACCACCAATGTTGTTAATGGTAATAACAACAATAGTATGGTTGCAATGAACAATGGCATTGTTATGCCACCGGATAATGGTGGTAATAAGAGAAAGGCTGGGGCTGTTCAAGATATAACAATTCCTCATGAGGCCTATTCCTGCCACAACCTTCAATGCCCTTATCATGATGAGACCCCCTTTGGGTTCAATGACAGGAATGCGAGGAACAATCACCAGTTAACATGCAGATACAAAGGCAAAAGCCCTGTGCAAGTGGTTGTTGATGAGTCAATGTCTCAGATTGGAAGTGGCAATAACCCTAATATAATGCCTCTTGGTCAACCTAACCACACTGCTGCACCAATTGTGAATCAAAATCAGGCTCTCAGTAATGGTCAACCAAGGCACACTGCCACACCAGGTGTGAATCAAAATCAGACTCTTCCTGTTGGTCAACCTAGGCACACTACTGTTGCACCAAGTGTGAATCAAATTCAGAAAGCTACTATTAACAGTGACAGTCATGAAGAAATGAATATGGGGTCAGGTTTGATGCACAACAACATGAATGTTCAGCAGAACAAATCCACAAGTGCTGGCAACAACTTGATTAATGTTCCTCTAGCAAGCCAAAACCAGCAGGTGCAAAATGTTCAGCCTCATGTGGACGCGAATTTATTTGGAGAAAGTGTCGATAGAGCCAATGGCTACAAGCTGGAATCTGAAGTACTCAATGTCCCAATGCAGCATGCAAGTGTCTCAACTCCAATAGATCCTCCCTATGAATGGGATACATATAATCCCCAATCTGATGCTTCTGCTTTCAACTATGGATTCATGGACTTTCCCTTGTTGACAACAACTGGCCAAGATTATCTTTGGCTATACAACTAAAGAAACAAGGTAAAATCATAAATTACCTGTTTCACTCTTTCATAAAAGTAGCCTCCTTTGGTTTTGGTTTTGGTTTTGGTTTTGGTTTTTTCAAGTTAAAATTCCATTATGTGGCAAAATAGTCCCTATGGTTTTAATTTTGGCAATTATTTGAAATTTTAAACATGTGGCAGATTACTGAAATCGGTGCTTTGTAATTTTGCCAGTGTTGAAAATTCAAGTAGAGTATATTGCTGGAATAGGAACAAAGATGGGATTTATATAGTTGCCAAAACTGAAGCTGCAAGAGTCTACTTGAATGAGTGTAAGTTTGAACAGGTAGTTTACAGTTTTTTTTTTTGAACGGCTAAGAAAATTTTCATTAAAAAGGTACCAGTGGTACCAAAAACAGGTAGTTTACAGTTGAAGGAACCTGTTTTTCCTTTACAGGTGGAGATTGTATTTTGGGGAAGTTCTTGGTTTTGTAAATATTATTTTGGAGTCCAATAAAACGAAGGGTACCCTTAATTTTGTATTAAGGATGAACAATGAATGCCAGTGCATGCATGCATGTCTAGGAGTGGGATCTTGGTCAATGTTCAAACATGTTATGCTTAATTATGCAAACCAAGTATGATTTGAATGTGTTGCTTCTTAATTTTAATGTGTTCTTCTATCATGCCTTCATGCAATTTTCCGATTTATCGTTTCGCTATTTACTTTTTCGCCTATTTCATCAATCTCCAAGGGTGAAGAGTTTTATTTCCAGGGATAAATGTGTAATTTTAAATTCATTGAGGACTAATATGATTTGAAAATGGCAAAGAAAGAATTGAAGTTTACTTTCGTTAAATACCATTTCTTGGGCCACCGGTATGCTTTCTTTAAATTATTATAATATTTTGAACAAACATATAGTAAGTCATGAATAGTTCTATATTCTCTCTATAATACTTTATAATTATTTTCAAGCACAAGGAATTGAGGTTTAATGTCATAAACAATTGGTTCTTAATTTGATTTCTGGGCTTATGAAAGTGAAAAGATCTGGCTAGAGAGGTCTTGTCAGCAGGCATATATAATAAAGCCATGGAGAGACTTCTCTAAACTTCAGTGTACATAATAATTTATTGTTTGAGTTATATTTTGATTTTTTAATAATTATTTGATAGACAAACAAAATAATTGAGATTTCAATCAGAAGGTAAATGTAGAGTTTTCCACTTTTATAATATAAGAAAACAATTTTTTTCTTATCAAAATGATTCAACATGAACTTCATTTATGTGAATGTTGCATATATGTTACCATTGAGATTTTGGTTCCTCTGTGATGGACTTCTCAATATTTTTTTTTCCTTTTGAATTTTCTTGTATGTTTTCTTTTAATTTTTTTTTTTGTAACTATATTATTATTTGTATATAGTATAAATTTTTTTATTTAATTTATTGAGTTAAAATTTTCTTAATTAAAATATTTAAATAGTTTCTTATTGTCAATTTTGGAATTTTTTATGTTTATTAATTTTTGTTGTTGTAAACAATTGTGCATTTTTTTAGACAATGATACAATTTTCACCACATGATTTTTAATATTTTAAAACCTTGCTCAAAAACTGAAAAAGTATAATTATTAGTTCATTTATTGATGGTCTCTTTTGGTGTTATATTGTCTATATATATGACTTTTTTTAAAACCAATAACTTATTTTTATATTCCACGCAAATAACTCTAATGATACAATTTTTATGAAAAAAATGTTGTTATTGTGTGAGAAGTGTTTCGGTCAACCAACAATAATTTTAATATAAATAGTCGATTCACTTTTGCTTTGCACGTGGTTTTCTTGTTTGTTTTGTGTGTCTTGATAATAAGTTTATGAGTAACTTACACTCCTTTTTCCTAAGAGATACGTACTGATATTATATTTTTTTTTTCTCTTATTTTAAAAATTACAGTCTTCTCTTTCAACGGATTATATTTCAATGTTTACCTATTTTTTTAATTTTTTTAAAAACTCCGTTAACTTTAGTTAAAAAAAATATTACTAAAATATCTTTTACACTAACATCCATGTAAATATATCATTATCCTCTGAAAATAAACTTTTATCCTTTAGCAAATATAAATGTTACACTTTAACAATTTATCTCTTAATGTAAAAAATAATATATATCTTGATGTACATATTTAATTATTATTTTAAAAATTATTATAAACTTTTTAGAATTAATCATATTTTAAATAAATATTTTAATTATATAAATATTTTTAAAGTTATCAAAATAAAAATAATATATATAGTATAATAAAATCAAACATATGTGATAGTATTTAATTAATATAGTTAATGTAATAATTTTGGCTAAATTGCACTTTTGGTCCCTCTATCTTGGTTAATTCACAATTGTTGTTTCTCTATTTTAAAATAGAGACATTTAGTCTCCAATTATAAAAATACAAAATTTTGATTCTCTCGCTAGATTGATATCTATTGATATTTAATTTTAACATTTATTTATACTTAAATTATGTGACATTTAGTAATATGAAATTTAAAGATAAAAAAACTACGTAATAAGATTTATTAATAAAATAAATTTTAATCATTCGTTATAATACATATAAACAAAGATCTTTTCTTTATTATTTTTTAATTGTATCTCTACATGTCACATCACTAAATATCACGATATTTCAGTGGTGGCAAGTTACTGAACAATGTCAAAATTTAATGATTATCAAATATCAAATTGACGGTGGGATCAAAATTTTATAAGACTAAGTCTTGATATACTTACCACACTCAATAAATCATATTCTACATCAAATTTTAACAATTTAACCGCTAAATTAAAAGTTCTTGATGTATATATCAAGTTTATAATTTTTTTAAAAATTTGAAGACTATTTGATACTTTGTTTTATTAATTCAAATTAACAAAATTAATTATAAAAGTATTTTACACGTTGATTTAAATATA